TCAGATGTGTATACATTGCCTAGAAGGTCATGCTCATGGGTCTGCTGTCCTGTCTGCTTAGCTGGACATCAGTCCTGGGCCTCTGACTGATGGGGGTTTCATTACCACCAGTATCAACTGTGAGAACACTGAAGCAACCCTGATAAATTGAAGAAGTGGCCTGAAAACTGGCCAACACCAAAGAGGAATGAGCTCAACACTGAGGGATCATCAGTTGGACAAATGCAGTGAGGAGATGAGGCTGCCATTCTCCAGGACTCAGACTCCCTGAAATGTCCTGCTGCCACAGGAAGGTGAGTGCCCTCAGCAGATGTGCAGACACCCAAAAATAAACCTTCCACACCCTTGGCCATGCAACACCTCCCCTGGAATGCCAGCTCAAGTCCTGAACACCTTGTTCAAGAAAGCCCTTCCCTAGCACCAGCTGATCTACAGAAAAGAAACATTTAGTCAGTTCCTTAGAAAACACGACCCAAGAATTAGAGATGAGATGAAGCAGGAGGTACATGTGAGGAGCAGCAGTCCCCTGCCTTCAGAGCTGGAGAGGTGAGAGCAATCTGCCTTCTGTTCCTCAGAGGACAGGTGAAGAACAGGGTTGTAACTCTGCCAGGAAGGTCCATGTTGGACACTGAAAGTGCTCAGTGAAGGTCTGTGATGGAGCACAGTGCCCATGGAGCTGCCATGGCTGGAGACACCAGGGGCAGGGCCCAGGGAAACCCTGATGCAGGGGCAGGACTCACTCAGTACTGCTGTTACAGGTCAGCATGTAGCCTGACTTGCATCTTCCTTTTTCAGTATTTCCAAGATCTAAAGGCAAATACCAGTACACAGACACAGGGTTGCAGGCAGGTGTGGCTTGCTATCTAGAATATTGATTTCTCTTTATATTGTTTTATTTCCTGCCCATAGAAGCCAGCAGAGCAGCTTGAGGCAGGAGCACTGCTGCAGGCTGAGCCCCAGCTGCACCAGGCAGTGCTTCCTTCCAGGCAGCACGAGCCAGAGGAACAACCTGGGAGTCCTGGCTCAGGAATGAGGTCCTGTCCCTGTTCCCATGAAGGGCCCAGGGCAGCCAAAGCCACCAACCCCACCAGTGCTCCCCAGTAAGTGCACACAGATCTGGCTTTCAATTTGCAGCAAGAGGGGGCTCACAAAGGCTGATGTTAAATTGTCTTTTAACTTCAGCTGAATGGCTTTGCTCCTCTCCAAAGCCAACAGATCTCAATCCAGTAAAGTCTGCAAGTTCCAGCCTTACCAGAACTGCTGGAGATGCAGCTACAGAAAACCAGACCCCTCCTGTACATCAGCTGAAGCAGGAATCCAGCAGCACAAGCTCTGCTTTAGCAGCCCACATTGCTATTTACTTCAGTAGCTGATGGTTACACATGAATTAAACCGATGCCAGTTTCACACATCACACTCCTCATCATCTCAGCACTTCTGCAGTTCCTCACACTTTGGAGCTGCCCTAGTCTGGTTAAGCACAGCACCAGGGCAGCAGAGGAGCCACAAAGCTGCAGCTCCACAGGCACAGCCTCAGACCAGCCCACACAGCAGAGATTAAAGTCTTGCTAACCCAGGCTAGCTCAATCCAAGTGGGGTTCAATATAATCATCTGGAAACCAGTATTTGCTTTATGAAATGTGATGGAAAATCCCCATAGGATTTCCTTGTGAAGTGAAATTGGATTAAAACTTATCTATTTTAACTTGATCTGGGAGGGCATTCCTTCTTCATCAATGAGCAGCATTTTATTTCTTTGCCCCCCCCACCTCAAAGTAAGGCAGACAAACACACCATGGATTCTCAGACCACCATTTTTAAAAGGCAAATTATGGGGGACAAATTATGCAGAAAATGTAGATTATGCAATAAGAAGCAGTATAAAGAAAAAAAACCACCACACAAAATCCAGCAAAGGCATTAGAGTTATAATTCATGTGCTATAAGGAAGCTGGTTGCTTATGTATGGATGGAAGTTGCCCAGCCAAGAAACTTCAAATTCAGAAAGTAATTTAAACCTGGTAATTTTCTTGTACATGCTTGGGTGGCTGAGCAGCTGCTGCAGGTGATGAATCTCCATGTTCAGAACGATGCTGACAGCCACTGTGCCTGCTCAGGGCTCACTGATGCATCCTACGAACGGGGCACAAGGAGCCCTGGACTCATTGTGCAGTGCAGAACAGCCCTGGCAGCAGAGGGAGCAGCAGTGCCAGGCCCAGAGCCCTGTGCTGGGCATCCCAGCAACGCTGCACAGGGCAGGGTGGAAGGACAGAGCCATGGGTCAGGGATTCCTCAGCCTCGGAGATGCTCCTGCAGCTCATGGCTGGACACGGGGGCAGGAGGGGAAGCACAGGCTGCAGATGTTACTGCCACGAGCATTTTCTGCCAGCACTGCAGGTGGGCAAGGTGAGGGCACCTGGGCAAGTGAGAAGAGCCCGGTGGGGCTGAAGGATGGGGTTTGGTCTGCTGGTCACTGCTTCACTGACACCTGCCAAGGGACTGAATCACCAGGAGGTGGAATGAAGCACATGGAGGAGGAACCTGCACAACACCCTGCACCACAAGGAGCAGCACTGGGTAGTGCCAGGGTGGGAGAGGAGCAGGGGGGGGTGTGGAGCTGGTGCTGAGCTGAGAGCAGGGCCCCAGCAGCAGGGCTAGCCAGGCTTGAAAGCCACAGAAAATAGAGGCATGTGACTTTGTTTTTTTGAAGGGGAGGGCTGGAGGGAGAAAGCCTTGCTCCTCATTAGTCCATTAGACAAATAAACAGGACCAAAGAACATTTAACTAAGGAAACTCCACCCAGCCCAGGGTCAGACCTGACAGCATCCTCTCTCCTGCTGTAGTTCTCTTGTTAAGACCTTTCCAGATTTTAAACTTTAAAATAGAATTGATAGAGATTTCTTGTGAATGGTGACAAGCAAACCACAGCTCTCCTAAGTGAAATCTTTAGCTTTGATTGAGGGAAAGGTGCCCTGCCAGGCCAGCTCAGCTGGCAGGAAATGGGCAGAACTCTGCTGGATTGGTCACACACGACAGCCCTTTTGGAACAGGGCTGCCCATGCCAGGGTGCTGGGAAGTGACCGTGCCCCCAGCAGCAGCAGCCAGCTCCTTCTTGACCCTCTCCTGAATGCCACGAGTCATTTTTCTGCCTGGTCAGAAGGGATGAGCATCAGCAGCAGGGAGCAGATGTTCTGAGTGCTTATCTGGCCAAGGGACAATGTACCAATCCAGCAGCAATTAGCTGACTACGACTAATTGTCCATGTGTACAAACTGTTCATGCTGTATCCAGGCCCTAGTTTTACAACACTTCAATTTTATCCCCCCTCCCCATTTTTCTCTAGTTTTAAGAAAAGTTTTTTTTAAAATAAATTATTCTTCATGTCCTCAGTGCAGACTTAGAAGTTTGCCCAAATCTGGCATAATGCCACGTGCACCCACACTATGGCCAAGGACACTTTCAGCTTAGCCCTGGTAGCCAAAGCAGGGCAAAGATCAGCTTGGACACTTGATTCAGCTTGTTGGTTGATTTAGCAGTCACAGAACCATAGAACCCCAGGTTGGAAGAGACCTCAAGGATCATCTGGGCCAACCCTTCTTGGCAGAAGCACAGTCTAAATAAGCTGGCTCAGCACCCTGCCCAGCTGAATCTCAAAAAGATCCCATGCTGAGGGATCCACCAACTTCCCTGGGGTGATCATTCCAATGGATGACTGCTCTCATTGTGAAAGATCTTCCTCCTGTCTAATCAGAATCTCCCCAGGAATAACTCACAGGAGAGACTGCACAATTTTACCACCTCCTCTGTGCTCTTTTTTTTTAACTAAAAAAACCCCAAACCAACCCTAAACACCAGCACAAGCCCTGAGCAGACTCACCAACATTTCCCTTTCTGTGAACACTTGGAAAGCCCTCCAGACAGCAAATTTCACCCTTTGCTACAAAATAACACAGATGCAATACCTGTTTGGCTCAAACTCACCTGAGCTCCCCCCCATCCCCTCTGCTCCCTGTTCCAGTTATTTCCCCAGCTACACAGAGCACCCAAGCACAGCTTGTGTGAGAGGAGTCAGCCCAGAACACCCAGCCAGGTATCTGCACAGCTTCTCCTATGGGCAACCTTCCAGTAAGCACAGACCATGCAAAAAATAATGGTTCCACAAGGGTTTTTTGCCTCCCACATAGCTCCTAGTTCCTAGGGGCACTGCAGCCCCCGGGGACAGGGACACAGGTGGGGAAGGAGAGACAGACTGAGATCTCAAAAACCTCTGGTCAATAAAGCTGCCACAGCAGTTTTCAAACCAAAAGCTGTTACAAATGACAAGCTGGGTGATTGCACTTAGCCTAACAAAATGCACAGCCAGAGTGAAGGAGAGCAATTATTCCAATTCTCTTTTTTTCAGCACACTGGAGTGAAGGAGACCACTGCTCTGGCTGCTTCATGTCATGCCAGGTGCTAAACAAAATTCAGCTCCAAGTCACCTCCACAGTGATAAAACCCCCTGAGCTCAGAGCAGGCAGGGCCAGGTAGGGGCCACCCTGGTGTTGCCCCCACCACCAGGGAACACCTCACTGCCTCACCTGGGAGCACCTCAGGTCTCACACAGACCCATCACCAGCCAACCACCCAAACAGGACTTCAAAACTTTCCTCCTCTCCTCATGGCACTGCTCAGCTGCAGCAAGTGACACCAGAAACACCCCAGCCCGACAGTCACAGCACTCCTCAGAGGTCACTCAGACAATTACTCAATAATTACTCCAAAGCTGGAGCCCCAGCCCCACAAGCAGGGACAGCACCAGCACCACCAGCCCTGCAGGCAACCCAGGCTCTGAACCTGCATCTCTTCTCCTTTGGTGAGACCGGCTTGGACATCAAAAGGCTCAGGTCACTCTGCTGCTGCAGCACAAAACCCCAGCACACCACAGCACAGCAGCTCTCTGCTCCAGCCTCCACAGCCACAGCCCTGGCACATCGAGATTAAAAACCACCACGACTTACAGTTCACTGTGACTTTGACTTTTCTCACGTCCGGGACCGAGACGTCGTTCTCTGCGCAGCACTCGTACTCCCCAGCCTGGTCCCTGGTGATGCCATAGATGTCCAGGTACTGCCCACTCTCAAAGGGCTTGGCTGAAAAGAAACAGTCAGAGAAAGAAATTACTGGAAGCTGAGCACAGAATGCCCAGAGCTTCACCAAGATCTGCAGGGTTTTGCCAGGTCCAAGGGCTGCCAGGCAGCCCCTGTGGCTTTTCCTCACAAACCCCAGATCACAGCAAGGCTGAAAACCCACCCTGAGCTCCTGGGGCTGCCAAGTGCCCCTCCTGACTGTGCCTCACCGTGGAGCTCAGCAGCCCCACACCCACAAGAACAATGTGCTAGTGAAGCCCATGGCCCTCAGCCCAAACCTTGCCTTAAAGAGTTTCAGCAGTTCTTAGGGCTCACGGTTTGCACCTGAGCTGAGACCCCCAGTAATCAGAAGCAGAGCCAGTGATTGGAGCAACTTAAAGGGACAACACCCAGCCCTGGATTAATCATCACTGCTGCTGGGGGTGACCCCAGCATCAGCCTCCCATCACAGGTGTTTCTGCTTTTCAATGACCATTGGACCTTGTAGCTATATTTCAACCAGCTGTATAGATATAGATTATAACCCTCATCAGCTGGAGGGCTCAGCTTCCCCCCCCTGCACCCTGAGGATCCCCAAAGCCAGACCTGTCAGGAGGGAACCACTGGCTGACCACCTCTAATGGGTGCCTGCAGGTGCAGACTGGTGGCTCATCCCACATCCTATCTCCAGGAAAAAAAAGCCCTTTCAGGGTTGCTCACCACACCACTCAGTGCTCACGTGTTGTGCCCAAGTACACGTTTCTTCATATTAACAGAGAATGAAACAGCAGCTCTTCTCTCCCAGAGCACCCAAACCCAACCACTGAGCTCCCCAGCACTGGCCTCACTCCACGGGAACATGGGCAGCTACTCAAACCACACAGAGGCCTGTCCAATGCACAGCAAGACAAAGACCAGACTGAAATGGGTAACTCCTTGCTACGTGGTATCTGAAACCATCAAAGATTTTAGATAGCAAGAACAGTTCCTTGACTCAAAAGCTAATTGATGCCCCCAGGCCATGGAGTCACAGCACGAAGACACTTCTGTACTTTGCTAGATCCCAGCAACTCCAACCCAGGGGGCAAAGTCAGCACTTTGATACCCTTGGGAGAAAAACCACTGCCTGGTCCAAGTGCATCTGCCCACATCTCTTGAGCAGCTGAAGGTGGCAGCACATTAGTTGTTTCAGGTTCCTCACAAGGTGTTCACCACATAATGAACCAAACCATCATTTTCATCTTAAACCAATATATCCAAGTGGTCGTGATTACAGATGCTGGCAATTATAGGCCAGAAGGTTAAAAAGACTTGCTGAAGTGTTTTCCCAGACAGACAAGCTTTTAATCAACTGTTAATAACTTTGCAACTTACTGAGCAATTACAAAAATCTGAACTGGTAGGCAGAGCAAAGCAGAAATATTATGACCATGCCCATCACAGCAGTGAATTTCATTTGCTTATCTGTTCACGGATTAATGCTTTGAAGTGTGCAAGGTTCAAACCATCAATTATCACAGAGCATCTCTTAGCAAGGCAACACTCATTAATGAGCACAATGCACCAGCCTGTCACAGGGCAGAGCCCAAGGAGCACTGGCTGGGGGAAGCACAGCGATAAGACTGGAATTGGAAAATTATTGTGAATTCAACTGAACAGCCCTGAAATGCAAGGAAATAATGTATGGGATAGGAGAAATTGCATGAGAATTTTTTTTGCCCTCTTCCATGCTGTTTGTAGAAATAAATTATGAAAAAAAAACCCCAAGCCCTTCCACCAGCAAAGCAGCTGTTCCTGTTCATGTCGTGGTTGGAACCACTTCCAGGACAAGTGCATTTACTCTTGCTTTGAACAGCAGTGAAGGTGCAAAGCCCCTGCCTGCACGGGGTGTCTGCCTGCACAGGGGCCTTCCAGAAAGACTTTTGTTTTCCTTCTAATACCAATAAAATGACATGAAATGCAAGGAAGTTGTGCAGGTGTATGGTGCTGCAAACCCCACGTGTGTCATGCGGCTCAGACACACTGGAAAATAGTAAAATCACGTAATTTTCAAGCCTTCATGTCCCCAGTAATTTTGCATCTGGCTCATGTAAGAAAGCTTTTAGTAAATACTAGATACCACGTTTCCCCTTTCCTGTTTCTCTGCACAGTGTTTCATCTTCTCCAGCTTGTTTTTAGTGCTAGAGATTTCCCTTGGCTGTGTGGGAGATCTGCAGTGGGGTTGTGTGACAGACACAGGCAGGAGAACCTCTAAGTGTATTTCTGGTCCCTTGCACACACATCCAGCTCATAAAAGGATATTCCTAAGCATCTGGAGAATAAATTGTGGATGAAGACAATTCAGTTTTCTCACTGTTGGTTTTTTTTTTTGTCATGTCTTACAGCCCTGGTAACCACCAGGTGCAGCCCAGGTGCATTTCATGGGCCTACCAAGATGTCAGGAGCATGGCTGGCTGGCTGGCCTGCCCATGGGGCCAAAAGACTTACCAGACTTGGTACCTGAGAAAAACAGATCTGGAAGATTTGTTAGACCATCAGCCTGAGGTTGTGTCAGCCAAGACCTTTGATCAAGGATGGGGAAAAAAAGCAAAAAGAAAAAGAAAAAAAAAAAAGCTGAAGTAAAGGAAACACACAGATGAGAGTGTCTCATGCCCAAGGCCATTCCTGATGGGCTAGAAGGTCTCTTAACTGGACGTGCTGATCCACATGCTGATGGGTAAGCACCTGCTCTGGGTATCTGAGGTGGTAAGAGCAGGGTCTCCAGCCAGGAAGGGGACCCAGTGTGGCTGAGCTGGAATGGCAGCTCCTGGGGCTGCCACGTGGCAGGAGGGCTGAGCACCAGCACACTTGTTATTCCCCAGGAGGCTACACAATTAAAGCTGTGTTTTCTCCACCACACATATGGTCTCTGGCACCAGGTGCAGCACAGGTACACGTTGCCATATGGGCCCCTTCTCCAAGGCCTGGATGGATGAGTTCTGCAAGGGCAGCATTTTCCTCCCCTGGTGTTAAACATGAGTCAGGAAGAAGAAAAATCTGGTGCAAGTCCAGGGTAGCTCCAAAAAACTCTGAGAACCTCATCTGAGCCAAGAGGCATGTTTTTTTCCCCCTATTCATCAGGATATTAAGTAACTACAAGATAACTCTGTTTATGAACTGTAAGATCTGTACAGTACCCAGGACTGGCTTTTTTGAGCCAATCTTTGATGTTCCATCCTCCAGCAGAGGGTGAAGACCCTCGCAGGGCTGGGAGTGTGGAGAGCAGGAAGCTGAGCTGATGCCAGTTCCCCTTCATCATGGGCTCAGGGCACTCCCATGGAGCAGAGCCAAGGGAACTGCCTCCCAAAAGGGAGAAGGTGTGGAGATAGAATCACAGAATGGTTTGGAAGTGACCTCTAAAGGTCATCTAGTCCAACCCCCTACAACCAGCAGGGACATCTCACACTAGAAAAGATTGCTCAGAGCCTCATCAAGCCCAACCTTGAATGTCTCCAGGGATGGGGCCTCCATGACCTCTCTAGGCAATCTGTAAGGTCCTTTTTGACCTGAGAGGCTGGGTGGAGGTACAGGATCAAGGGTGCAAGGAGGCACTTTTCTTTCCTGGAGATGAGTTGCTGTGAGATGCTGAGAACAATCTAAAATCTAAAGTATTGGATTCACTCAGAAAAATGATCTGAAGCCATTTCTACTACTCGTTATGGATTCTGGGTTTAAAGTTACAGCAAATGCTGTAATTGGATAGTCCTCTCCAAGGACCTGCAGGTAATCTGAGCAGCTCACTGTCTATTAGGAGAACAGCCCTATCACATCAGGGACCACTTAAGCACCGAGTGCTGAAGGCCATTTAGCTTCAGAGAAGCCCTGCTCCACGTCTGAAGAGAAAAATCAGATAAAATGTAAAGAAAAAAAAATAATCCCAAACTGCCAGATAAATTGAGGGCTGGTGGAGATCTCCCAGCTGACAACATGGAACAAGAGAAGCGAGCAGAGCAATTTTGTAAGAAAGATAAGCTGATAAAAGAGGAGAGATGTGAACGGAGAGTGACAAAGTTGAACGTTTCAGAGGTGGAGACAAACAGGGTCACATTTATAGGTGAAATCTATAGGTAGAGAGAAGCGTTTGGAGAGCTGGCTGTGCAGGCTCATGGTGTGAGCAATGTGAGCCTCAGCCACTTAGCAAGAGGTTGTTTGTAAAGGTTAGAGATTGGTCCTGCAAGAGAAGTTGTCAGAGTTTCCCTCATTCTCCGAAGTGACAGCAGCTCCTGTGTCTGTGCAGAGCCCCTGCCAGGCTGCACGGGGTGCTGGGGATTCATGGGGTTACCAAGCTGTGGAGCAAGTCTGAATTCTCTCTTTGCAGCCTCCACGCCAGGGAGCACGTGGTCAGCTCACACCCCAGAACATGGGCTGACCTGTCTCCTTAGCAGCTGAGGGTTAGCACAAGGGAGAGCCAGCTCCCCCTGGGCACTGGGTGGAGAAGACACTGTCAACCTGGTGTTATTTGGAATCAGAAAAACCACTTGAGATAGTAGGTTGCCTTGATGTCTGCACGGTGTGTCTCTGGATATGTCACTTCATGTATATCATATATGTCACTTCATGTATATCAGAGCACTCTGTGGTTCTGTTCAAAACTCTGTGCTACCTGCAGAAGGCAGAGGTTCCAGCACAGCCAGTTTTTCCCTGGGATCATTGCTCTGGGCACAACCACAGCCCATGGCAGGGACATCATCCCTCTGCACCCTGACATCCCCTCAGCAGGACAGGGGGCTGCAGGAGATCCCCTTGCACCCAGGGACTGGCTCATCTGTGGCAGAGAGCTCATCAGCAGTAACTTCGGTCTGAAAAGAGCTTCAAAAACCCTTCTCTGGAAAACAAAGGAATTAGAAGTGTGTAGGGACAGGCAGGGCAATGATCTTTTTAATAAGGAAGCTACACGACTAAACCTCACTGGAGCTGATCTATAATTCATGGCACTTCATGTGGGGATTGGGCTCTTGGGAAGGGGAGCATTATTTCCAATAAAG